TATATATATATATATATATATATATATATTTGCAAACAAATTGAATTAGTTTATATTTATAAATCTATAAAACTTGTCTTACTAATGTCATGCTTAGACACATTATAATCGGGAAAATCTCAGCAATTGGTACTACATTTGAAGCGGTAAGACAAAAATTACAGTATTTGAAATTTTATTTTCATTGAATAATTATTTTTTATGATCGCAGCGACTCTTTGCAGTGTTGTCTGTTTCCTTTTCTCTAATTAGGTTTTATCTCATTTCAAATTTAAACGAAACAGTTCAACCAAATTTTAGTGAGCCCTACTAGTAATATATCTTTTGTCCCTCCTTACATAGTTCAATTAACACGCGTGTATGCTTTCTTGGTAGGACGAGAAAGAAGAAGCACTTACACAGTGTTATTGTAACGTACATTCGCAAGAAGAAACCGCGACACGGTCTTATAAAAAAATGAAGACAATTTGGATAATTGGTGGCCCGGGATGCGGTAAAGGGACTCAATGTGAACGTATCATCGGAAAATATGGATTCTATCACATAAGCAGCGGTGATCTCTTGAGGGAAGAAGTTTCCAGTGGTAGTCCTAGAGGAGCTTCGCTTCAAGAATTAATGTCTAAAGGTCTATTTGTTCCCACGGTAAACAAAATATCACAGATAAATATATTAGTTTCTTACTAACACAAAATTCCCACAAAATTTAAAAACATGTTTTATTATGTTATTTATTCTGTTTTGGTTTACAGTTATTAAAATCTTAAGTATACATAGGGAATATTTAACTATTTCATCTTACTTCTACCGCTCCAAGTTATCTTAAAATTGTTTGAGAAGCTAATGTATAAACTAATCTAATTTTAGGTATAATATATATCAAGTATAATAAACATAGATACACTAAATATACGATACAGTAGGATCTTGGAAATTATATAAAAACAAAAAACATAACATGCAATTATAAAATATAGTTCATAATTATATATACTTATAGTTTATAATTATATATTTCTTTAATTGTAACCTTCATGTATGTTATGAAGGTCAACGTGTGTGTCTTGAGTAGATTCTCTTGTACATTGTCGCTCAACTATAGTTTAAAAGATACGCACAAAAATATTTTATTATTCGTTAGAAATTATAACAAATGAAACAATTTAAAATTCGGTTATAATAGCCAACGTAATTTTGAAAATGCTTATATCTATGTCGAAGTTTCAAGTGGTGCAATGGAATAATTTAAAAACACTTTTATAAATATCTCTGAAACTAAGAGACCATTTTTAAAAGAAAAATGTTACATAGAATCAACGTGTAAAATTACCAATTATTTACGTAAATATGTCTAATATAGGAGAACAGTATACCTGAAATAAATATCTTTCAGAAATAGTATAATGCATGTACTGTTGATCTGATTTAAAGTCTTTTGATTGATTGAAAAGTATTAAAATAGAGTAATATTACGTAACCCAAGATTCTCGTGTTGTACGAACGAATCCCGCTTTTCTTAGTGTGAAGATCATATGGTTTCCGGCAGGACATTGTGCTGGACCTGATCAGAGAACGAATGGAAAAGGTTAAAGCGGAAGGATCTACGAAAAGTGGTTTCCTTATCGATGGGTATCCTCGTGAATTGGACCAAGGAATTCTTTTTGAGAAGAATGTAAGCGTTATGATTATCCACTAATCTTTTTTAACCTTTTGCACTATAATATTGTGTAAGATTCGTGAGGAAACTTTCGAACAGAATCTGCTAGATTTAGATGTTATTTATCCATTTTTAATCGAAATAAGATTTAATTTCGCTGTTGTCAATACTTGATCATTGGAATTAACGCAGACACATAATACAAAATTCTAATTTAGGTCTGTCCGGTTGATTTAATCATTTTCTTCGACGTCTCGAGTGAAACCATGAAAACGAGGCTGATGGGTCGTGCAGCCGTCTCACAAAGAGCCGACGATAACGAGGAAACAATCAAGAAGAGGATCGAAATATTTAATGTCAAGAACGGGGAGATTGTTGAACACTATAAGGATAAAGTTGTTAAAGTAAGTTAATAAACGATAATACATTAAAAAGAGAAAAATGTTCGGAATATTGAGTTTAACTTTGAACACTTTCATTTAGATCGTAGCTGAAGGGACCATCGATTCCATATTCGAACAGGCGGTGCAAGCTCTTGACCCATTGGTAGCTTAGATCCTGAAAGAATTTTGTTAATCTTAAAAGTATTTAAAAACTCTAAGTAACTTCTAGTGGTTTCAGTCTTGGAATTCCGAATATAAGTTTCATTTTCGACAAGTTTATCAGTCATTTTGTAGGAAAATTCTAAAATACTGTGAACTTTTTAATTTATTTAATTTGGTATCAGTTATGGAGTAATCTAAAGTACCTGTTTTTAATCACAGAATAAAATTACATTATGTATAAAATTGTTCAATATACTTTGTAACGTACGTGTTACTGTTATATTATTGTTATGTCGCTCATAAATTTAGAGACTGTTTTGAATATTAATTAAAATCTATATTCTACGATTTTGAGAACTGATTTCTTTTAAAATGTTCCTGTCTACATTTTTATATTCGTCTACTTATTCTAATCCTGCAATAAATAAGTAATTATAGGTAATATAATACATGCCAAAAATATCAAGAAATTACAAATACAAAAAGCGTTACTATATTTTCCTCTTTATGATCCTCTTCTTGACACCAATCTATCTATGTTTTGCATCATAAATATCCATACATATTTGACAGAAACGAATCAATGATAAATAATAATTCTGTAATTAAAATTGAATTGTTATCATGAAAATTATTATTAACTGAACATAGTTGTTAACTTTACTACAATTCTCTCTTGTTAAATTGTTTTAGTGATTTATTAGTACGTTGTGTTTACAATGATTATCAAGTGACACAGTGGAATAGATCTACAAAAGATATCTCTAACAAAAAAAGCGTATTAACAATAATACCTCATGGGTGATGTGGAAATCTATTGATACGAATGTCGCTCTAATGTGTCACGGATAGTTACTATAGTACGCGCGTCTGAGGTGCTCTGATTATTTTCTGCAAGGTCCATTCACGTCGCAGACAATGCCCTACAATCCTACCCGTCGAATCCTAGCCGTTCCAAGTCGTTTGGGTTTCTCGCCGGTCTTCTGGGATTCTCAGCTTCCGCTATTTTCGTGTGACATTGAAGTCGATGTCTGGTGCCAAACAAATGATTAGGTAGTTATTGTGCGGAACTCGTAGAGGCTCTTTGGGTGGTCGGCTTTGGTCTCTGACAGATCGTTTATGCGTTTCGGACACGCAACATTAGCATTCTCAAAAACAATGTTTTGCCTAAAGCGACATGTAACTGAACGTGCTTGAACAAATACGTCCGTACAATGTAATTACAGTGATCGTCACTTAAAATCCTGCATAGTTCAATATTTGTTTATTTAATATATGACAACAGCAGAACAAAACTTTCAATAACTATTAGTAAATAAAATAAAATTTGTCGTTACGTAGAGAACTTGCCCGTCAGTAAAAATCGTACAGTACATATTTCCAATAATATTTAATATATAAAACTTGTGTTAATATTTTGTAAGATATCCATGTGCATTTTCAACACATTGTAGTCGCCGAAAAATTTATACATACCCGCTAATATTGATGTAATATGGGAAAGTGTATTCTACGTGTATTGTACATTAAGAATTGGTTTTAACAAAATATTATATGCAGCGATAGTTTATAAAAATTATTAAAAATCATGCTATTATAAAAAAAATAAAATACGTTCAATCTTGGTTTCAAACATAGCGATATAATTTGTCTAATTACTGTACTGATAATGAGTGAACAGATAAATCAGGAAACGAAAATACCGAAACTACAAAATTGCTTAATTACTAAATTTAAATAGAAAATTTTAATTCTTTTTTTATATTCGACATATTTTAAAATAAAATCAGAATATGTGAAATTTATTTTTAATAAGTACAACGGTTTAGAGTAAAAATTACAAAAATAAATTTAAGTGTACAGACTAAGTATAGACTAAGTGTATGGTCTAAGTGACTTCATTCCTGTTCACTTATTTCTTAAATTAAAGACACTGAATAAAAATTAAGTTGTAATCGAATACTATAATCCTATTGTATTAGGTTTCAATAGACCCTATTTGCATAAATTGAAATTCAATTGGCTTTGTGTACGCATCACGTTGACATACAAGTTAATTACTGGTATACAATACGACTCCGCGGTCAGTTAAAATGAGGTTTTGAGTATGTGTGTGTAATAAAACCAGGTTTACTCGGTCATAATCATTCAGTCAAGAAAGATCGCTGTTTGGTCTAAAAAATGAATCAATTGCTTATATTGCTTAGTTTTTCAACAGTATACTTGATATCGAACATAATTTTGTGTAACCGTTGCTATCGAATTAATTTACAACCTTTACCGCATTATAAACTAATCAAATCCAACTTTCGTTCAAATCATTTACTACTGTCGAGGTCAGTCGTGCGAAGTGTAAACGAGTGCAGACAGTTTGCCCTAGCCAAGAAAGCCCTGGCTTTTAATTACGGCTTGGAAAGTAATCGTAATGGTAAGATAGTGCGTTACTAGTAGTGTCATTGATTTACAAATTTGTATTATTGAAATTAGAAACTGCTAAAATTGCAGATCTAGT